GATTTACAGAATTGAGTTTTCTACATTTAAATGGTTTATACTGACTTGGCAACACAGCAGAATAGGAAATAATAGTTTAAGGTGAAATCTTTCTGAAGGCACTGTACTTGTTATGTTAAAACATTCAACCTCACAGAAGCTCTGTCAGTCACTGTCAACTAACCATTTTCAGCGACTTCAGGTATTGCATGCACACAATAGTGTTTCCAAAATCACTGCTGTGTACTTCTGTCTTTATTCAAGTGCTCTTATATGCAAGTCTGCTTCTCTTGTCAAATGTGCAGAATGAAAAATAATAATAATATGCCTGTAGGTGAAACAATGTTCATTTTAAGTGTTTTTCAGCATGATAATTCACATCAGAAACTTTTAATCTGTGTGTTTTGTGTGCTTCAGTTATGCTGTTTGGACTGGACAAATATGTCTTTAATTAGCTGTGCAGCTCAAATCGCATTTGTCATTAAAGAAAAAAAATATGATGAAAGCTTTAGAATTGTTCGTAGAATGTGCAATCAGTACATGGCAATGTACCAAAAACGACTCCTCTAGACTAGGAGTTACTGTATAAATTACCCTCTGATGGCAGGTTATTATTAACCTACACACTGTAGTCGTGTCCTCCGTTTATTTTATTTTATAAGAACCGATACCTTTTATGGTCATTTCTACTATACAAATGTCACCTTACCTGTGATGACTAAGTGAGATTAAATCTCAATGTTACATATATTTACCACATACATGCCGCCATTACATGTTTTCCTTTTTCCCCCTGCACATTCATGATATATTGTATTATTATATGTATTTTTAGCTTTTATAATTGTACCCAACAAATCACATCCATTGAAATAGTGCCTGTTCATTATTTAGAGTGAGTTATCACTCCTGTCACACATCTGCAAAATAAACCTGCTAGACAATGTGTTTTCGTGTCCTTTGATAATTAAGAGGTCTAGTTTGGCATATTGCAGCTGTATATGACTTATAATCCATATACATACACACACACATGCATATATATATATATATATATATATATATATATATATATAAGGGCTGTGCAAAAATTAATTGCGATTAATCGCATCCAAAATAAAAGTCTGTGTTTACAAAATATATTTGTGTGTGCTGTATATAATTATTTTGTATATATAAATACCTATGCATATTTTGTATATATAATACCTAAATTCTGCATATATATATATATATATATATATATATATATATATAAATACATAATCTATATTATATAAATATAAATATTTTATATATGAATAACACATTTTCTTTAATATATACATGCATGTGTGTGTATTTATATATACAAAATAATTATATACAACACACAAATATATTATGTAAACAAAGACTTTTATTTTGGATGCGATTAATCGCAATTAATTTTTGCACAGCCCTAATATATATATATATATATATATATATATGCACACACACACACACACACATTATGATTGAGGAGATTCCTCTTCCATGTAAAGCATTTTGAGTATCCAGAAAAGTGCTATATAAATGTAACGAATTATTAATTATTATTTACATATACAGCATATACACACTTATATTTATACTACACATCGGAGTCAGTTTCTTGTTTCAAGACCAGTATTTCAGTAACAATGATCAAAAAAGAACAATGCACAGTTTCAAGAGATCATTTTTTTTAATAAAAAAAAAAACAAATTAGTACATGCAGGTCAATACAAACATTAAGACATTGATTCTTTAGAGGAGTTCATGATATCAATAACTTGTGAGATTGATCACTGTGACAGCAGCGATGATGAGGATAATAATAGCAGAGGCATAAATAATAATGGAAGCGATATTTAGGCATCGAGCTCTGTTGCCGTACAACCGTGCCGATGTGAGGTCTCCAAGCAATCTGCTGTCCCGGGCCTGGCACATAAAAATGTATGATAACCTTAAGGTGTCTGTAAAGCAGCAGGACACTTTTATTATTTACCATATTCAAATTGCTTACCTTCACGGAGTTGTAAAAGGCCACAAACCCAAGGCAGCATGGGTTACAGAAGTGAAGATTGAATGTGGAGAAAAGTATATCATCATTGAGTTTTTGCTCAGGCATGGACACTATCACTGGGCACTGAGCAGTGTAGACTCTTTTGTCCTCCATCGGGATCTCGCCAGCTGCTGGATAGTTCTGCATCGCCATGTCGATTCAAGAACAAAAAGTTGTTCTCAGTGATATCTAAGTGTTCAGCTCTTGTAGACTATGAAAAATAATCTGGCTGTGTATATTGTCCTTGCACCTTATTTATGTCTGGAGAAATCCTTGCATGCTGCTGGAGACATCACTGCCTGGTCCCGCTAGAACCTCCCCTTGAACATTCTTTACATCTTAGCTGATGATTTATCTATTACAGTTGAAGGATATAAGTAGGATTCTCAATGGTAACGCGTGTTACTTTGGATAAGCAACCACATTTGTGTTGTTTTGTTTTCTTTGTTTTTTCATTTGTCATTTGATTTATCATTTATTCATAATTGTATTATTATTCATGTCACTGATATTTTATAGTACTTATTTCTTTTCTATTGTTGTGTAATGCTGATTGTGTGGTTTTCACGGGATCTTTGTCTTCACGAGTTAAGAGAGTCAACATTTCAAGGTTTTTAGCTTCATAGGACAGTGTTGTGAAGTAGTAGCTCCCCATTGTTTTGCTGGGGTATAATAACATGTGCTGGATTTGAACTGGTCTGATGAAGTCTGAGCATTGAGACATTCAGAGCGTTGAAACTAAGATTATTCTATAAACTGTCCTTTTTTTATTATCATCATGTTGTCTCCTGCTTCTGCTCTTCCCTGGCTTTTTTTAGTCAAACTCTCAGGATGATAAAAAGACTGATATTTTCTGGTAGGGATTTGGCATCCAGGGTCAGATCTAATATATCTGATATTTTCTGACGTGGAGATAGATCCAATCTTACATTTTGGCGTAGTTAGCAGGATAGAATAAAAGAGAAACTGTTATCTCCATCAAACAGTCAGAGTCGGGATTGTTTGTCGTCGCACAGACAGGAGGGTGGAATGACTCCGGGCCACTGACATGAGGACGAAGTGGAAAACCCTCCCTGCAGGTGTCTTGTCTTCCCCTTGCTGAACTATAAACAAAGCAGTGTGAGTGTGATCTGTGTGTACATACTGTGTGAGTGGCATGGCAACTGGGTCAGATGATATAATTTTTACAGTTATGAAGCAGTCAGAGGTTTAGCTAAATGACAAAATTGAAAACTTGACAACTAAAAGGGTTTAGATTTGCTATACAGACTTCAAATTTCAACATGGAATCAGTCTTATCTGAGTTAAAACTAACAGCTAGCATGGATATACCGTTTTAACATGTATATTTAATGAACAAGTAAGTTATTACTTGTCACTGACATTAGGATAGTTGTAAACCAACAACCTGTAAACCTAATCATTACAGAAAACTTTTTTGCATTTTTATATTTTAATAAAACATTGTTTTTAAGCAATTTTGATTACAAGGATTCAGGAAATGTGTTGTTTATTTTGTAATACCCATGTCATTATATAAATTTGTGTCCTAATAAATCATAAAAACAAGCACACACACACACACACACACACTTTGAACATAGTGGTTTATCAGCTGAGATAAATTATAATGTAAAAAGTATTCATTATATTTGGTTATCTGTATTGGAAACTGCAAACAATTCTATAGATGTACCAAACGATTTACAATGATTGACCATTAAGATCAGTTAAATTAAATAATAGAATAGAGGAAAGCATTAAACTGAACAAGAGATGCATGTTAAGTTTGATAGTAAGAGCTTATGAAAGGTATAGTTACTATGAAACATTTATATAGTCAACACTTATTTGTGAAATGGATTGGTTGTGATATTGTAATTGTAAATATGCTGAAATGCTTTAAAAAGTGCACTTTTAATGATCTATTCTGTTGTTAGTTGTAGCATTAGTTTTGAAGATGTACCACTTGCTTGTGATAATTAAACCAAAGTAATAAATAAAAAACAACAACTGTAAGGTATCCTTGGCAATGAATATATAAGCCTATCTAAACAATACACCTCTGAACATGAAACATCGTCTTCTGTGTTTTTGCCAGTGGCCGTTAATTCCTGTTTGAAGCGGCACTGAGAAATTACCTAGTGTGTTTTGTAATTTTTAAGGAACACTGGGTGGAGTTGGGGTGTCTCAGAATAACTTAACAATGTTTATACATTTTATACACCAATTAAACATACATTGAGATGTTTTCAGATACTCTCAGACAGGAAATCTGAAGTGTCAATTCATCATAGTTGGTGTCATGGGTGGTTGCCGAAAGGCAGACGAAGATGAAGAATGAAGTTCCAATACAAAGTTTAATAACAGAACAAGTAATAGTCAGACAGGCAGGGCAACACACACTAAATGTAACGTAGACCGAACACTGAAGGGCTGTGAGGGAGAACTTAAGTAGTGACTCAAACAAGTTAGCCATAGAAACAAAGGAACACATGATGTGAATTAAAACATTCCATGATAACTAAAACAGACTGAACATAACTGTGACAGTTGGGCTATTTTTAAGCCAATATTATTAAGTGAGTATTAAATGATAAATATTATGGCTTTCAATTATACTTTAATGTTGAATGGCTAAAATTAAAGCTGCAGTCTGGTGTTTTCCCTCTTTGTCGCCATCTCTGTTGGAAATCTGCAATTACAGTCATTAGGGGAATTATCAACTTGTACTTCAACACCCTCGACATGGCACAGAGTGGATGAACACAATGTTTAAGGAGAGTGTGCGGCTGTCAGTCACTGTGCCGGTGTAAATCACATATTATTCTTTTTGGAAGTATGACCAACATAAGAATTTTCACCAGAAAATGTCACTTGAACTAGTAAGAAACATCCACTTTTGTTATAAGTTATCATATTATGCACTTAAAGTGTGCCATTATTTTTTTATATTTTAAATATAAAATATATATTTTTTATAGAATCATTTATTGGACATTATTTAGCCTCTTCAACTGTGACTGGTCAATATAAATTCTCCTTTTAGGGTCAGTAAAGCTTTTGTTTCAATGGTGCTTTTTCACATGTACAGTATCTGCAGGTTTCCTGATCAACAAAAATACCAAATACCATTTTTAATGTTGGCCTTAAAATACCAAACATTAATGTTTTTAATGTTTTAATGTTTTTTCCTTCATTTCATGTTCTTCCTTCTGCATGTTTTCCATCTGAAAGCATTTCTTCAGTAGATCTTAGTAGGTACCGTACTCTTCTTCCACTTTATCTACGCCTGATTCAATCTCCCAAAGTTTTATGGTGATACTCTGCAAAGGAAAAATAGATGTCAACCATCATCTAATTGGTGTCTTTTGTAGTCCATAGGCTTCTCCTAATAGGTTGGATGTCTACCTTGATGGTGTTTTGGAGAATCTCGCACACTGTGTGTCCACTGTAAGACTTCTGCGGATCAAACCCTGTCTTGAGGGACTGAAACAGTCCATTCATCACTCGCTTCACCTGCACATGATACACCAGCTAAGTTTTAGGTTTAGACTTTTCTATAACAGCTCGTTTACCTCACCTGAACCACCAACTTGGTCTCAAACGGCTTTTTCCTATTTTGTGATGTCTTCCTTAAATCCACATACTAAAATATAAAGGTAAATGGGAGATTAAAGGGATTCTTTACCCAAAACTAAAATATTTGTTAATTATTTTCTCGTCTTCAGGTTCATCCCAGATGCATTTGACTCTTTCTTTAGATGAACACAAACAAAGATTTTTTTGTCCATATAATGCAAGTGCACAGAAAGTCATATACATCTAGGATGATGAGTAAATATTAAGAAAATGTTCATGTTTGGGGGGTGTATACCTTTAAAAACTAAACATATGTTTGGCAACAATTCCTTTAGGAAAAGTTATTCAATTATCCATATTACACACCATATTATTTATGAAAGACTTTTATGCCCTGTCTTTTCAGTGTGGACATTTGGACCCCGTTTACACCTGGTATTAAAATGCGATCTGTATCCAGATAAGTTATCCGGATAATAAGTACTGATTCCATTTACACCTGGCCACATAAATGTGTTTTTGCAAAACGGATATAAATCCGATCTTCACCTCCTGCGTTATATGCAGATTTATTGGATTGCACGCCACCAAAAGCAACAGATCTGAGCGGCATTTTATTGATCATCAGCTAATTTCCAAATCAGAGACATCAATAAGAGAGAGTGGCAACAGGCCTGGTAAGATAATTTCGTTTCTTTACTTGAAGATGTGTTAACTGCGTCTGTGACTTACTTTCACTTTTATTTGCGATGTTTGCACGTTGAATAGACGCTCAGCTGCTCATCTGCGGTGATGCGTGTCGCGTGTCGCATCTGACTAGGCTATAACATGACATATAGCCTATATAACACGCTCTCACTCGTTTATTTTTTAGCATTTTTGGGAGGAGTAAAATATACATATGTGGTTTCAACAACCAGATTGCGTTTACACCTAGTAAAGATCCGGACACAATGCGAGCCAGACTACCTCCAGATGTGGTCAGGCAGATCCGATCACGATCCGATCACAACGCGTTTACACCTTGCATTAACATGCGTTTTTTATTATCCGGATAACTTATCTGGATACAGATCGCATTTTAATACCAGGTGTAAACGGGGTCTTGGTCATCTTTGCTCATCAGTGTGATGTTTTTACACAAGCCTGTTCTTGTACCTGTTCCGTCATTTCAGAAACACACATTGTTTTCCAGCTAAGCTCAAACTACTACAAACTACACACCTGATGGAGATTCTCCTTTTCAGCCCTCAGATCTTGCATCTCATCATCCATGTTTTGTATAATTTTTTCCATCTCTTTGCACTTCTGCTTTTCTGCTCTCCACCGCTGCTCAGACTGTTCTTCTTGCCCCACGAGCTCTAAAAACACACATTCTCTAAACACTCTTACAAACTGCACCAAACACTTCAGATCAGATCAGTGCTCCTTAACCAGGAAGCTGTTGGGGGCTTCAATATGACTTAAATTTAAAATAAGTCAAATGTATACATTTCACTCCAACAACCTTTTTTTGTTTTGAAGAATCAGTCTCTTGAAAAACTTGGACAAATGAGGTTGCCTAATTTGAAAAAAGTGAATTTTTTGTATCTGGATAAGTGATGTAAATGAATTAAATCTTAAAACTAAAGCATTTTTAAAATGAATATTAATTTTATTATTTCATCAGGTAGAAATTGTGAGTAAAAAATATATATATTTTTAAAATCCTTATCTGTATTTCTTATCCAGTCAATGCAAAGAACTGTAAAAAATAATTGGGCCTTTGAATATTGTTGCACACAACAGAGGGCCTCGTAGCCAAAAAAAGAGAAAACTACTCTATGTAGAAAATATGTGATAGCTTAGGAGTTTTGTCCTACAATACAACTACCACTTTTATGGATAAAAGTACCCCAAAATTTAAATAAGGAGTAAAAACTTGAATGAAACTTTGGGATCACCTTTCACTTGTTCCTCCAGAAGGCTGATCTGAGCACAGTGCTTGTGCTTGTCCTCCAGGGCTGCGCTGAGATCAGCCTGGATTTCTGTCACCCTCCGCTGGAGATTCACCATCTCCTGCTGCAGCTGATATGCTTGTGTGGTGGTGGAGGAACTCAATTCCCCACATAAATGAACCTGAAGAGAAAGAAAATAAGCAATTCAAGGCTTTTGCCTCACAACAAAAGTTCACCAGCACACACCTGCAAGAAGACCAAAATTAAACACTGCAACCAATTACTCAAATCAAATAAGTTTTAACATAAATAAAATTATAATATAGTGAGCCCATGCATAATTTAGCAAATCTGCACTGCACCTCTTCCTGTTCAGCCTGAAGGCGGCACGTCTGGGTGTGTTGCTGCTCCATAGACCTGCACACAGAGAAAACCAGTGTGTGTCAGTGTTTGGGATAACTGGTTTAGGGGGGATTTTTGCCTTTAATTCGATTGGAAAGCAGGAAATTGGAGAGTGAAGAGGGGGATAGGACACCTTTTATTCTCTCCACTCAGCACCCCTATTTTGGGGTTCTGTTCCTCCTCCTGAGAACTTTTCTCCAGAACCTCCTTCTTCAGACACATGCTCTCCTTACACAAAACACAGATGTCATTTAAATCTATTTACACCTATATACAATTAAAATGATAGAAAGTATCCTTCAATCCAAACCTGAAAGATTCTCTGAATGTTGTGTAGGATCATGTTTGTTTCTAAGGAGACTCCAAAAGAGTGACCATCTTTTTGCAACTCGTCCACCTAAAAAACAATTTTAAAGTTGTAAAATTTTGTTTGTGACTTTAATAACCATAAAGACCGATACAAAAAGATCTGTATTGCACAAATATACCTTGCAGGTGAGTTGGTCCATCCTGTGCGCCACCTTTTCTATAGCCAGGAGGATTTCTGTGTTATGCTGACGAGCCTCAGACATCAAGTATGATGTAATATCAGGATCTATTGTTTAATATGAAACTCTTGCATTTAGTGAAAAACAGGTCATTTTCTTATGGAAGTACTGTTTGAGAGAGAGTTCATGGCTCATGTCTTACTTTTGTATGGACTGTGGGATGGGTAGATTGAAGGAAATGAATTTAGCTGTGATGAAAAATATGGATTTTGGCCAAAGGAATTCGGCTGTTGATCCTAAAAAATGAATAAATAGATTCTTACAAACATTTATAAATTTGGGGGTCAGTAGATTTTTTGAAAGTCTCCTATGCTCACCAAGGCTGAATTTATTTGATCAAACATAATATGATTAAAAAAACAGTAATATTGTAAAATATTACAATTTAAAATTAAGGCTATTTACCATTGTAATATATTTTAAAATTGAATTTATTTCTGCGATGGCAGAGCTGAATGTTCAGCATCATTACTCCATTCTTTAGTCTTATGGTTCTTCCGAAATCATATGATGATCTGCTGCTTAAGAAACATTTTATTATTAATGTTAGCAGAATAAAAGTATTAGTTTCTTAAAAAAAATAAAACATCTTATTGACCCCACACTTCTGAACGGTGGAACATAACATAACATAACACATATTATAACATTGTGAAATATTATTATAATTTTAATTTTTTTAATAATTTTATATTTTTTAGTGATATTAAAGATTTACATTGTTAGAAACGATTTCCATTTAGAAAAAATGCTGTTCAATGAATCCTGAAAAAAGTATCACAGGTTCCAAAACAATATTAAGCAGCATAACCGTTTCCAACATTGATGATAAATCAGCATATCAGAATAATTTCTAAAGGATCATGTGACACTTACTACTGTATTACTGTAATTGCTGATGAACTTTCAGCTTTGCCATCACAGAAATAAATTATATTTTACAGTATATTAAAATAGAAAACCATTATTTTAAAGTGTAAAAATATTTTTCACAATATTGCTGGGTTTTTTTTTTTCATAATAAGAGACATATTTCAAAAATAAATACATTTCTATTTTTGAAATGGTACATTTTTTTTTTTACCAATGTTTCCAAAATTTTGACCAGTATTGTGTATGGTATATATACTTTTTTTTCCCTTTTCCTTTTTCTTTTACATCGGATCTCACCTGAAAGTCTTGAGTAGTGTTCAAGTCTGCGTGAGGTGGCACTGCGTCCTGTTTCTGAACATCATCGGGCTGACATAACACTAAAACGAAGATCAGTCAAAACGGCAAAGAACCAGTCAGCTCTAATATAAGGCAGAACTAACTGATACCGATTAGGTGATTATTTGTGATTGTTTTCACACATACAAGATGAAGGACTGCAGGGCATTTGTGCAGGTTTTGAGGAGGGTGAAGGAGAGAGATCACAGATACGTCCAGACTCACTTGTATCCTGCACAAAATCAAATCTGTGAGTTATAGTTCTACTTCATAATACATTCAGGAAACAAATCTAAGATTAAAAAAATAAATCTCCAATTCTCCTGACCTCGGTTTCTGAGTCACTGGGGTCGGGCTGAGTTGGAATGGCTCCAGTGAGAAATGGAAGCATGGGTTGACCCATCTTGGCTATACGTGAGATCAGCTTGGCCTTAGATGTACCTGTTGTCTACAAGAAAAAAAAAAAAGAAATGTAAAAAGCTTCAGCATTTTGGCCACCTTAGGCTTATGGCATCTGTCACAAAAGGAAATACTACTCACTGTCAGGTATTCAATAACAGATTGCACCTTCCCCTTAGGAGCTTGTTCTCTAAAAACAAATGATCAATATTGTATAAATTCATAGGAATCAGCTCATGGATGTGTGTCCAGAGACATTTAGTTAAAACACCCTTATCACACAATCTTCATTCTTGCTTTGACCTCTCATTGTACACAGCAAAAATATAAATAAATAAAAAAAATGATCCAAAATATCTAAACATCCTAAAAACAAGATAAATGAACTTTAATCTAAAAAAATTCAAAAGATTAAGAATTTGTTTAAGTTTAATCTTCTTTCACTTTTTCTAAGAAAGAAAAACCTAAGAAAATAAGATATTCTATAAAGAAAAATGTCTTAATATCTTTTAAGACATCTTATCAATTTTCTTTCTTAACCCAATGTCTCATGTTTTACTGAAAAAAATTTCTTAATATCTTATCAATTTTCCTTCTTAAGCCAATGTCTCATGTTTTACTGATGTTTCAATTTAATAAACTTAATTAAGAATTGTTTCACTTTATATTTTTTTTGCAAAAGGGATTCACTTAAAATATCAACAATTAGTGCAAAGTTTATGCTGTCTGAACACACTCTGACTCCTCTGTATCTGTGACCATTTGCCTGGTGTTTTCTTCACTCAGTGTGTCTGTACAGGTTCCTGGAGATGTACTGAAGGTGTCAACTGATCCCCCTCTATGTCGCACTTTGGAGATTTTAACCTGCATGTAGATAAACAGACCGATTTGAAAAAAGTAGTAAGAGAGACTAGAAATGTTTGCTCTAGTATCTTAAATGACATTCACACCATCAGTGCCTTACTCTATGAATCTCTACATCATAGACCAGAGTGCTGTTTTCTGGCACATGGTTAGGGACGCCCTTTGAAACCATATTAGGAGGGACGATAAGGAGCCGTCGACCTCCTTTCTGCATCCCAAGCATCCCATCCTCCCATCCCTGAGAGAAAAAGCAACATAAGAGCTCTATGGCACAACAGCAGAAAGAACCACCAGTTTCCTTTATCATCATTTATAAGGTCCCTGTGCAGTCAATAATTGTATGCCTTAAAACTCATCTTTGATAATGATAATCCAGCTCAACTGCAGTAAAAGCTATGCGGTGACAAGTGGAAATGTTGGTTATTCATTCAGCCATATATGTTGAAGAAGTGGAAGAGTGAACTATACAGTACAAAGTTGACGCATCAATGGTAGCCTAATGCGTTGTATGTATTGCTTTCTACAACATCGGACATATAACATTAAATGATATGATTAGCCTTCTTGACTATGTCATCAAACAGCAAATATGTTTCTAATGTTACACAAACCATGTTTCCGTTCAACATCTCAGAGTTAGACCACTCCCTTCTAAAAATCAGCATCCTTAGAAATGCTTTAAACATCATAAAAAGATAGTGGAGAAAAGCCCTGCCCCACACGTTGATGGGATTGGATACATGTTTATGATGGTAGGAAACCTTGTTTTTGAGACTGTATTTGCAGTACAGGCTGTACAAAGCAGTTTTAAGGAGAAAATACTCAGCAATGGTGTTGTTGATTGTTGAATTTGACCATGGTTTTTGTTAGCATATTAAAAACACCACACAATCATACAGTGTGAACTGCATTAAAAACATCACACTCTTCTCACCCTCAGAGCTTTGCTTGCTCCAAGCTTTACTCGCTGCAGCTTTTCTTTTCCCAGATTAGAAACAAATATCTGGGGGGAAAGACAGACAGAGACACTGAACTTTCACATTTATAGATCTCAAGCTGTACAGCAAACATGCCATTTAAATTACCAGCGAGTTCAGTTGATTAGGTCAATGGGGGCATGACTTTTATTGAGTCGTGAGTGACTAATCAACAAGAATGAGCTGCTCTGTGCTAAATGTGCTCAACTATGAGTGAAGACGTTTAACAAGAAATTCAAGACCAAATGTGCAAATAAAGGACAATCAGTTAATTTATTAAGAGTAGAAACTTCTCTAAAATTATGAGAAACTATGGCTGGTTAGATTAAATATACAAGATTTGTCAGTCCAAGCTGAGACAATTCAAACATGCATTTTAGTCTGGGACTAGCTTAAGCCTTGTCTATGAAACCGGGGGTATAAATACATAGCCTATTTATTTAATGTTTATGTTTTTGAAACAATTAGGATCAGAACAGACATTTGTCTTTACAAAATACCATAATGCATGTAAAGTGTGATTTGAACATGACAATTAAAAGGTTGCAAATGGTTTCACCTGTCCTAGAGAATGGTTCTGTAAAAGCCATCCAGAATAGGCCACCTCAACTGAGTCCCCAACATCAACAGCTTGACCTTCACCTTGGGCAAGGTCCTGGCTGATCAGAGTGTCTGATGAAGCGTCACTGTTCCACCTGGCCACACACACCTGAGAGAAACAGGCTCACACGTCATCTAAATTAATATCATTGTCAATCTGTAAATTTTAAAAATGGTAAAAACAAAAATTGGATTTGAACAATTTTTAAACTATTTCTTTGAATGCATCGATTTTAAATGTTCAGCAAATAATTCAGTTCAAGAATTACCTCCTTACAGAACTCAGGCCTGGACTTTTCTGAGTCAAACATTAAAGACCAGCTCTGTTGTTGGTCATCATAGAAAGTGACATAGTTACAGGGCTGAACCTGTGGACAGGTATACGTAGCATAGACCTGATGAATGCAGTATATAAAAGAACAAAACACAAGACAACACAATAGAATAAAATCAGAATAAAAACAATGAACACTTACTGTGAGGACAAATCCACGATAGATTCTAGCCGTAGTGATCTGTTTTTGCTTACTGCCATACAAGAGAATCTTGTACTATAATTGCAGATAGAAAAATTACCAAATGAAACAAACACACACACACACACACACTCTTATCTTACCTCTTTGGTGACATGGTTCCCTAAAACAGCAGCTCCTAACTTTCCTTGCTTCACATACTGTCCATTCACACTGGTGGAAAATCAAAGCTCAATTAAAGAATGTGTGAACTTATGCTAATTCAAAGTCTTATAAGCATCCTTTAATTGACACACTTATACTAACAAGCAGAATGCGTGAACAGCTGTAGCAAACTGCACAGCTGGAGCACATGGAGGATGAGCGGGCTTCTGAGGAGCACCTTAAAAACATGACAAATTAAGGTTAAAAATAATCAAAGAACACGTGGAATTGTTCCAAACAGGCTACATGACTCTACTGTACCACATACCTAATTTGGCGCAGGTCTTTTTTGGCTGTTTAGGGGCAGTGAATTGAAAGGACTCATTTCCCTGACTCTCTGCTCGGTCCAGACCAAAGAGAGAGGCCAGCTTTGCCCTAGAGGAATGGAAACATGTATTATATCTTCACTTATAGCACTAAATCAACATGGAAATTACTTTCGATTTAAAGGGTTAGTTCACCCAAAAATTCTGTCTGTAATTACTCGCCCTAAAGTTGTTCCAACCCTGTAAGACATATCCTTTGTGTTCATATCCGGAACACAAATTTAATAGGTTTTTGATAGGTAATTCCATCTTCCAGCCCAGAAAAGTTAGTAAAGACATTGTTAAATAAAATAGTCAAAGTGACTAACTACAGTGGCTCAATCTAAAGTTTATCAAGCGATGAGAATAGTTTTTGTTGCCAAAACCCCCCAAAATTAACAACTTTATTCAACTGTTCATTCAAGTTAACGAGAGCGCCACAACATATGTGCGAGAACTAAGATGACAGCTCACGATCATTTGATGGGAAAGTGTGAAAGGAACCATTCATATCGCAGCATTGGTTAGGTACTTTTATGTTTTCTCGTTGGTTTCTCCATATGGTTTCTCACGATTCGGACATCCAGAAAATGCACACTTTAGAAGCATTTTAAACACTACATCTAGACCTGTCTGCGTCCTCTTCTCAGTTCTGACGCATTCGTCGTGGCGCTGTCATGAACTTATGTCAGAGGCCCTAACAGAAGAAAATGATTATGAAAAAAGTCATTATTTTTGTTTTGTTTTTTGGGCACAAGTTTTCTCATCGCTTGATAAGCTTAAGTTTGAGCCACTTTAGTCACCTGGACTATTTTAACGATGTCTTTACTAACTTTTCTGGGATGGCATTAAATTACTTGCAGTCTATATGAAGTGAGACAGATCAAAAATATCTTAATATCTTAAAACATTTTGGGGTGAACTAACCCTTTAATGCATACAGATTAACCGTATACTATCTGGTATGGATGCTTTGTTTTCATCTTAGAGTAAAAAGAAAAGTAATTTTTAGGGCTGTGCAAAAGTTAATTGCGATTAATCACATCCAAAATAAAAGTCTGTGTTTACATAATATTTTGTGTGTGCTGTATATAATTATTTTGTATATAAATACCTATGCATGCATGTATATATTTAAGAATTATTTGCGCTTAAATTCTGTATATTTATAAATACATAATCTATATTATATAAATATAAATATTTTATATATGAATAACACATTTTCTTAAATATATACATGCATGTGTGTGTATTTATACATACAAAATAATTATATAGGCTACAGCCCACACAAATATATTATGTAAACACAGACTTTTATTTTGGATGCGATTAATCGCAATTAATTTTTGCACAGCCCTAGTAATTTTATGTATAGAAATGTGAATTTATATCACAACTTACTTTATTTCTTTATTTAAAATTTTCACAATTGCTCACTTTAATGCAGAATCAGATTTCCATTTCCAATAGGTAGCCTTTTAGGGTATTTTCACACCAGGAAAGTCCGATAGTTCACTTGCTTTGGTCCGGACCAAATAAATTATTATTATTATTATTTTTTTTTTGGTACGGTTCGCTTTCACACTGCTCTTTTTGCAAGTGAACCAAAATTTGTAAACCAAACCACACGTGTGCTAAGGTCGTCCATTCATTGGACAAGGATTCTCAAGGGAATCAGGAAGTGCAAAAAAGGCTCAGCATGGAGATATTTCCATATATTTCATACTGCAATATTTGTTCTTGTACTAATTTTGTGTTAATTCTGTACAAACGCAATATGAAGAAACTAATGAGTATCATATGATACATCTATACGAAGTTGTAATTCGGATTTTGAGAAGACGACGAGTGTAACGTTTGAGTGGCTCTATAAACGCGGGGAAATACGACAACTCTCGTCTCTCGTGCATCTTTTCATTCGACCACCTCCTGTTTTTTTTTATCTCTGGGCAACATCTCAACTTTGCGTTACAAGTGGCACTGCACAGAAGACGGAGAAGGTATAAAGTTTTCATTTATATGTTCACTCATTCAAATAATGAGATTCTTATTGTGTACTAACAAGTGCGGTCAATGTTAACGCTTGCGATTAAGTGTGTCCAGTTTAACGTAAATTAACGCATCATCATCCTTGTATTGTAACTATCCTTACATTAATAATAATAATAATAATAATAATTCATTACATTTATATAGAATTTTTCTCGGCACTCGCTTTAAGGGGGAAACTCGTCAACCACCAAAAGGTGGTGAACTGCAAATGCTTTATGAACTGCAAATGATTTTTTTTTTGCATCTTTGCGCGATTAGACATTTACACACGACGCGCAGAAAGACGTGCAGAAAGACGCGCAATATTCTCTTTCGACGCAGTGCTTTCTTGCAATTGGGTCGGTTCATGTTCACACCGTAAACGAACCGTACCAGAGTTCGTTTGGAACCGTACCGAGACCACCTCTTCAGCTGGGTCTCGGTTCGGTTGTTTGGTCCGCACCCGAGTTCGATTGCTGTATTCACACCTGCCCAAAAGGTCCGCACCAAGGGGGCAAACGAACTAGAGTTCGATTCAATCGAACCAAACAAAGCAGGTGTAAATACACCCTTAAAATCCTAATGTTCTTTGAAAGTAGAATGTTTCAAATGTATCAACACAATCTATGAGTTCACCATCCTGTTGAAAACAATCTATGTAGACATTCAATCAATACAAACAGCAGAAGAATGCCTTATCTTATCAATTTTCATTCTTAAGCCAATGTATCATGCATGTTTTACTGACGCTTCAATTTAAGAATTATTTAACGTTAGGCTATGTGGTGTTGAGATTAAATAACTCTGGCTTTGACAGAACATTGGAGATGCCGTTGCTGAAATATGCTGCCAACAATGTTGCGAAGTGAGAAGTTTACTGCATGGTAAGATTTTAAAATGCTGTTTATCTCATTGAAAGAATCATCAAGCTGCTACATTAATGACATGCACACAATAAATACTGGACTCAGACACCTTTAGACTTTTCAAACCAAAACTACAGTACAGCAAGGTCCAGTCTAGCATCTATAATTAAATCCACATGAAAGAAGACGACCTGTTTGCACTGACCCTTGGACCTCCCTCCACAGATAGTCAGTGTCCCATACAGCTGACATGGCCGCCAGCTTTCTGTCACTGAGGAATGGGCTATAAGAAGCCTCGAAAATTAGATATTAAAAAAATCTTCCACCCTTTCCTCTTTTTCTTCTTCCTATCTTGCCGATTAAGCTGCAGTGGGTCACCAGACCAGATTTTGAGCAGTCCAAACTAAAATGCACTGTAATCACAGTCATGTGAATTAAATTACTGAAGGAGGAGTCTCACCTCATCAACACTGCAAATGCCTTAAAAAGTGGTTTCAACAAGCAGAAAATGAAAAGGGCAAAATATGGATGTCAAATGAAATCAGAACATTTAACATGACAAATCCAGTTACCATAAACTGGTCTACTGGATGGATACCATAAATGCAACTTTTTCTCATTTTAAAATGTCTACCTAATTTCTTTTCTCAATTTCCCTTTTATGTGAATGAAATAAAAGTTCACAAAGTCAATTTACCCCAAATTTAAAGTTAAAAACATAAATGCACCTTTATTTGTCAGATATACCTCATCTTTACATTATGTCTGAAGTGAGGTCTTGCCTATATATTGCATTTATTATTAACATTTGACAAGATTAAAATGTAAATATGAAATTATTGGTGTCATTTTCAAAAAGCATTTAAGAACACCTTAGCCTTCATCAAGAAAAAAGAAAAAGAGAAGAAAATCAAAGTGAAAAAAATGAGACATAAACTCCATAACTCGTAACAAATATTATTTTTTTTTTAAAAATGACAATGAAAATTCTTACATAATCAAAAAAAAAAAATCTGACATAATTAGGATATTTAACACATGTTGTCCCAAAGATTAAGCTAACCTACAATGAGTGGGACAAAAACAATCTGTTCTGTCATAACACTTACCCCATTTTAGGGCACATAAATTCCCCATCGTGATAATCAGGAATAATAATTTTTTCCATACTCTAATTTCTAATGATGGCACAGAGCTGGCCCCTGAGTAGGATGAAACGCGCGAATATTTTGCACTTGTGCGTGACGTGATGAGCACAGGAATGGTATTGGTAAGAGCAAAACACAGCAGCTCACTCATTACACACCTGATAGCACACATGAGCATGTGATTTGACGAGTACTCGGGTGTCAAACAAAGACCCCTTTCACACCTGATAGCACACAAGAGCATGTGATGTGACGAGTAGACTACAGATCGGGCGTCAATCGAAGACCCCTTTCAAACTTGATAGCACACATGAGCATGTGATGAGTACAGATCGGGTGTCAATCGAAGAGCCCTATGGGTCAGTGATTGAACTGTAATATTGACAGATTGTTACAAAAAAAAATATAAAAAAAAAACTAAAACTATTATATTATAAACTACTATTATTATCTTATCCACTATGCATATAACAATATGTCAAGCTGTGAAATTTATGTTTCTTCAATAAGCGTTCCTCTTCTGAGTGCATGTAAGAACACCATTGCATTTATATTTTAAAGATGTCGAGCAGAAAAAAGCAGGAAACTGACAAATATTTTCATGCACAAGAACAAATTTTGAATAAAAATCACCTCAGCCAATTCTAAAAAGGACAAAATATGTGACATAATATTTATTAAAAACATATTAATGCAATTTACAATATTGTGCAAAGAACTAGCTCTCAAATGTCACTATTCACATCATAGCATTTAAACTTTTTTTCTGTATTTGCTTACATTTATATATAATTTACAATGTACAATCACATGAGCAGTTTTAACCACAGAATTACCATAATGCAAATATCGGGTACATTTTCTGTAGCCTACTGAGAAAAGTCAATACAAAGAAAACACCAATCAGCAAAACTTGATTGAAAAACCTTATTGATTTTTGTCTGTTAAAACAAACAGAAGCACATAAACATATAAAAAGTTAAGGATTATTAATTAGTGTCAAGGCAATGGAGTCCAGGCAACTCTGGTCTGAACTGGTCAAATATAAAATAAAAATTCTCTTCAAATTCCTGTCCTCGAGTACTGTGGTAAGGTAAACTCAAATGTCTCGATCGAACTGGTCAAAGATCAAGTCTGATTGACATAATTGTCCTTAAAGCTTGGCTTTGGGCGTCTGCTCCAGGAGGGTCTTCATGTCTATCAGAGCGTCCTCAAGACCTTGGGCCAGATGTGCTGCGTTAGTGTCCTGGCAGCTGTTGAAAGCAGAGACTGAGAAGTTAATGTGAGTATCCATGGGGTTGTAGCACACGCCATAACCGTCAGGTACCACTGGACCGAAGCACATCACACAGTTTGTTTTAGCTGGCACCTGGGAGAGTAGAATGGAAAAATAAAAAGGTACAATTTAATATTATGTAAGATTATTCCTAGTTTCACAGATTAGGTTAAGAACTAAAGTGCATGTTTTAACTGAAAGACACTTGCACAGACGTATCTTAAAATATGTCAAGGCCATTGTTTTGTCTTAAGATGCACAACAGTAATGTTCTCTTCTAAGGCACATTTAAAAAAGCTACTTAAATGTCCTAATTGAACAGAGGCCTAATCCTGGCTTAATCAAACCTGGTCTCAAACCAGGGGGCTATGAGTTTTAGATGATCTGATGATTTTAGTTTCACAGCAATATCATAAGAGCAGATTTGAAGCAGAGCAGATTTCACCAAAAATGTGTGCACAGTTAATGACATGGTACTGCTCATCAGCACAACAGGCTGAACACAATGCAAAGAGTTTGTTTTTCAAATGACATGCACTTCAGTTTCATTTGTTATCTCTAGCCCTGGACCAGAGTGCTCTGTTTGCATTACTTGGCTGGTGGAGAGGTTGAAGTGCAGTGCCACAGCATATGAGGTATCCATGAATATCTCTGGCAGGGCAGCCAGGTCCTCAATAGCCTGCAGTTTCAGTCCGAGCAAATGTCTGTCGATGGCTTGACCTCGGATGGCCTGCAAATCCACGCACAGGATGAAGAATGTGGAATATATTTAGTGCAGATCAGTAATGATGCATATATTTACATCCCCACCATGTGTTTACTCACCATGTCTGTGTAAGCTCTGTGTGCTTTAACAGCTTTGTCTAGCAGAGCCACTTTCTCTGTGTTCTGTCCATCAAAATGAGATAGTTACATTTTATTTCATACCAGATCAAGTTCACAAATGCACTTGAAAAAAGATTTTGATATTGACAATAAAACAGACAAACTAAATACATAGCAAAATATTTTATATAATATATAAATTAGTTCAAAAGTTTGGGGTCGGTAAGATTTGTTTTAAATGTCTCATCACGACTGCATTTATTTGATCAAAAATACAGGTAATACTTGGAAATTTTATTACAATTTCTTATCAAATTAAATAGAATGTATTCCTGTGATGGACACATTTTCAGCAGAATTATTCATAAAAAGAAAAACTTACTGACCCACATTGTTTATGCTAGTGTATGTGAATGTGGATTCAACTCAAATGTGTACTAGAGGTGACTGTACATGTTTGGCTGGGTCATCCATGGCCTTGACGAATCTGGCCGAGTCAACTGAGGTTGAGCGTATGGTGTCGGTTCGGCCCAGTCTGAACATGCGGAGAGAAGCGCTCTCATAGGTGGGACAACAGCGCTTGTAAACCCTGAAACAGTAAGTCCGCGAATCAAGCAAATAAACTAAACCGATCATTAATTTCATAATAGTAGTAATGTAACAGTTAAGATATAAATATGGGAAATGATATTAATGGCAGTGCTGGTAAGGTTTACCTGTAGTAAGCCAACTGGAGAGCCATCTGAATAAAAGCATCAGGGCTCATCTTCTGCGACTTTGGGAAATCTTTGCCAAAATGGGAGAACACGTTGATTTTCATGTCCAAGTCATGAACCATGCTTTAGAGGAAGAGAAGAGAAACTTTCAAGCATTCAAAATTTAGCATACTACCAAGTTGTTTATTCAAAAAAACAAATGTTGGTAATGCAAAGAGTGAGTGTAATATCCCAGCTTCTCACATGTTCATGTTTTGTTTGGCCTCCTCAATGTCGTTTTTGATCTCTGCTGTGATGTTGAAACGAAGCTTCTTAGGCATACACAGCGGGACCATTGGGGTACGGACCATCTCTGACTTTTTCCTGTACAAATATAACAAAAAAGTGGTAAATATTAGCTGTGTTAGCCATGGTTACTGTTTTTCCACATTTAACCATTCTTACGTATATTCCACCACATGGTCGATCAGTGACACGATAGGGGGACCCTCAGCGGGGGCATGTTCATAGATCAGTCCACATGTCCCATCCTCTCCAATGATAAACTAGAAACACAACAACAGTATTCAGTATCAGGATCTTGTGCCTGATACATTCCTAACATTTGATTTGCCAAAATTACATGCTCGTTTAGAGGTTTATAATTTTGTCTCGGTGGTCTACTAGAATAGGTTTACATGATTTAACGTTCAAATAATTAATTATTTTCATTGATGCAGCACCTCTGTCTAAACGCTCTGTTTTAGTTTCGGCTTTGAAAAGCCCAATCTGCTTGGATTGGTCAGTCTGTTGTGACTGGCTCACCGCTTGTCTGAAAAATAATGCCTTTGTTTGAGAACAAGCCAGAGTAGCCAGTAGGCGGGCATTAAGCAGATGTGTAACATGGTGACGTAGCTATGTCACAGGCATAATGGCAGGACTATAAAAGAGGCGTTTCAGGCATGAGTGTATGTTGGAGTGATTAACTCCTTTGGCGTGGACTTTGTGTCTTGCAACTTTGCAGATTGTTTACATGCCCAAAAAGCTACACTGCACACTACAGGAACGGTACAATTAAAAAAAGCTTAATATAGGTGCCCTTTAAGTTCTCAGTAAGGGCCCACACACTTCCTCATGAGTCTAACCTGCAATGTTTTGTCGAACCAGCGATTTCCACTGTTCCACCTGCTGCCCCCACCGTGCAGCATCTGAACCCCAGCTCGGGTACGGTACATGTCATCAGACGCTCGCGGTAGGGCAGCATCCAGACAGACTGTGAAGATACTCTTCTGAATGGCTCTTACTGACTCTTTATTAGTTTTATCTGAAAGTGACATAGAAAAAACATGAAAAAACAGGTTTTTAGAGTAAAGTTATGATTAAACAAAGTCTGAAGAATAGCATTTATTTGAAAGAAAAATCTTCTGTAACATTATAAATACCTTTACTCGTTTTTTTAACTCATTGATCATTTTTATGCAATCAATCAATTTAATGCATCCTTGCTGAATAAAAGTATTAATTAAAATCATAATGATCCAGAACTTTTGGAACGGTAGTGTATAGTATTTAAATAGTTTTATTTACCAGCACACTAATATGCCCAGCTAAAACTAAAACATGTCAGCAGTGCCCACCCTTAATGAGGTTGTTGTAGGCTTTGCCCCAGCTGTTGCGGTGGTTGGAGGTGAGGATGCCGATTGGCTCTTTGTTGGACTGTAAGGAGGAGCTCCAGATCTTCTCCAGCTGAATGTAGATCTGGTCTACGGTCAGTGGTGTGCCGTCACTGTTGTATACATCCAGCACAAAGAACTACGAGTTAAAAGAATGAGTTTAAAAAGACGTATTGCTGTACACCAAGTAGCAAGTCAAAACGTACAAACAGATCACAAATTCACTGCAGTCCTGGATGCAGAAAATATAAAGAATAAATATATATATATATATTTTTTTTTTTGCATGGCAATTTCTCATAGCCAGTAAGAAATCCTTATATAGGCTGTAAATTATTTTAATTCACCTACTACTGAAAATTACATTTGGACCCTGCCTGGAACTTTGTAACAGGGACTGACCTGAAAGTTGTGCACTACAGTGATATGTGTGGGGGGTTTATTGTCCAAGGCGTAGTTGACCACGTTGTCCCTCTTTGTTCCAGGGATCCGGCAGGACGAGAGCACCTGATAGTACTGGTTCATACAGAGTGGCTTTCCACCCAGATACTCCACTGGCAATGTTTCACTAATCAAAGAGCAAAGACATAATGTCAGACTCTTAACTTTACAAACACATGGATTTAATCAATAGTAATAGTCATGGTTATCTAAAGCATATCTAGAGAAAATAATGTATGACTTACTTGTCAATCATGCTCTTGAAATCTAAAACCCCAGCGATCAATTTAGCAGCATATCTGTGAAGAACAAAAAAATACTGATTTAACAGTAATTTTAAACAACTTTCACATCAATATAGTGTCATTAAATCATTCTACCACTAATACTGTTGAACATGCTGTGCCATGTGCCTTTGAAATATATGACTTATACGATATGGACAGAACACACTTTGCTGCTGATTTGTGGTCAGTTTTAGCTGTCATATGTGAAAGCTTTTATTATAGTTGATGTGAGGAGACTGGTTTCAGGCAAGCACTTTACTGAGAGCAACAGTTCTGAATTTGCAAAGCTCAACTTGGCAAGCGAGGGTCAGTCTGTACAAAGGTCACCACAGAGGTAACTGGAAACAACTGCCTCTTTTTGTCAGTGTATAACTTTAATCAGTTTCAGAAATATCTATAAATATATATATTTAAATGTTAAAATATAAAAGTGGTTTATACTGTTTTATAGGTAAAATATATTAATAGGACTTCAACTTTTATTAATATTAACAAATATGTGTAGGCTGAGAACCGTGCACATTTAGTTTTCAAGGACACAGTTTTTGAACAACTGAAGGTCCCATGTAAAAATTAGTCGACACTTCCTGTGATATCTGAATCCACGTCTGACCTCATTTGGCCTTGACGGTCAGTGAACACCATTCGGGGAAGGACGACCCCAGGACTCGAATGGACAACAACAGGCATCCGGTAGTCTAGGTAGGCTGTTTGTAACCACCAGTCAGAGAGCTAGAAGTGGAAATGATAGAGAGACAATGAGAGATAATAAGAAGGAAGCCTTTGAAAAGAGCTAGGCTGCCCCACACAGGGCTCCTGAAAATGCATCACCTAACAAGTTTTTACCCAGTTATCCATTTTCTTTGCTCGTTGTTCCAGGCCTTTCTGAAGTCTCTCTCCTACACCGCCCGGCTTCTGGAACTCCTCCAGCAGCTGCCGAGTGTGATTCAGCTCCTCCGGGTCCACGATGGGATCCAAGGCAGCCAGATAGCGATCGCATGTTTGTTTCAGGGGTGGCACTGGAAGCTTAGGCAGACCCTCCTGATGGGCCAAGTAGCGACCTTGGATCCGTGTCACTGACACTGGTTTTACCAGGCCGCAGGGTTTCACCATGCCGGCCTTGACCTAAGAATATTCCAGATGATACAACAGCGACTGCATTATATCACACAACATAAGGATACATAGAAAATACAGATCTTTTTAGTTCTTAATGACCGACATGTTAATAGCTAAATACATTTTTTAAGTGTAAAATAAAATATGTAATACATTTTAATAACATAGGATACTTTGGCATTTATCTCAGACTATATTTTTTTGAAGAAATGACATAACACAAATGTACATTGACAAGCTAATCTAGTCCTACATTTATAAATAACTAGACATGTTTACTGTAATAAAATATACACATGAGTCAACATTGCACATGACTGCCAGCAATGTAACATGCAATAAGACTGTTGCACATGTCCTTTACAAACTAAGTAGCTTTTAGAGACTATGTACACATTCACACGTTGTGTTAGGTACCTGCATTAATTATTAAAGTAACTGTCAGTGGACATTGTTTTCTTATCACTGGCATGAACGATTAAATACTTCCTACTGCCTTAGCACTACCGCTATCTAACCATAAACAACCTGCATGTCAGTAAAACACACTTCATTACACGACGCTCAGACTGTCAGCTACCCTTGTTTATGTCACATAAAAGATCAGACTATGTAAACGAGGACATATGAATTGCTTACTCACCATCTTTCTGGCAAGAATGCCTAACATAACTGAAGTTCACTAAACCCCCCCAAATCAAGGCCTGAGAGGAGTGACAGAAGCGGTCAGAGTCCACTGGGCTGAACGATAGCTGCAGTTAGAAAACCCTTGAGCGCCATCATCACTGCTGCGCTGTTCCACTCCACCGCTAGACGGCGCGCGAGGGACGAAAACACACTGCAAGCCAGCCCAGCCTGCGTCATCACTTTCATAATTAAAAAAGTCTTTACTTTATTGTTAAAATATTTTAGAGCTAAATTTCAAATTAAATTTCAAACCAAATTTGCACACTCCAAAGTTCAGATGAATTTTTGTAGTCCTAAACAGTATTTTTACACTAGCTTAACGTTACATAACGTTTGGTTTTAAGGTACAAATACATCTCTACTAAAAATGTATGCGCAAACTTTCAATTATTTTTTTACTGGTGCTATTTTTATTGTAATTTTTACTATTATGTACGTGAAATAATAAATAATCATACATCACAAATAACAAACAGTATCATTGCATTATTAAAATACGTAAGTTGATCCGTACATTTTAAATCGTAAATGTTGATATTATGAATTTTGCAGTAATAATCTTTCTTACAACAATTTACATTCGCTGATTATGTTTAAAAAAATATTTTACGCGAAACTGCGGGTGAGAGTTGAAGGGGCGTGTTTTCATGTTCAACAGTAAACATGGCGGAGACTGAGCAGTCGTCAGGTAATTCACATCAAACAGATATTAATTTAATCGCGGATAATTTAGAAACGAACATACCAATAATATCAAGACTATTATATAAGTTGTTATTCTGTTCCTGAAGCGGTGAAAGGGACGTGCGCGTGTGCAGAAAAAAAGCTTAGTTGTGTGTCTCGCCGCGCCTCATGTTATGAGTCAATGATAGTCTGACAGACCTGTGACGTGCACTTATATATTTATGTTATTACGCATTATATGCGATCATATGACCCAAAGTTATTATTTCTTTGCTATAGTCATTTACTTAGAATGCTTTTTGAAATATATTTAGTGAAATAATGGACCCAGAGTTTGAACACTTTTAGTTTCAAAGTTGGCTAACCCTCTTACTCAATGCATCACATTAGAGGCTCTCATAAGAAATATTTTTTTTCTCTTTAGAGATTACCCATACAAATATAGGGATTGTAACCTTATGGTTTGATGATGATGGTTACTTTATATTGAAATATATATTAGTTAAATGCATATGTATTTTAGATCTATACTAATAAATATATTCTAAAATAGTTTAGAATTGCAGAAAGCAAATTTAACTAAGTTCTTATCAGATATTTTAGTGCTTATTAGTTGTATAAATAAAATAGTATACTTTGACTCAAAATTGTGTTGTTCATCTTCATATTCATGTTCATATTTTTTTTGTCACTTGCACAGGCTCCTCCCACGAGGATGACAGGCCTCCCAGTACTGTCAATTTCAACTTCATAGTGCCAAAGAAGGAGATCAGCATGGTGCCTGATATGGGGAAATGGAAAAGATCACAGGTATGTTTTACAACCCACTATGAGACGTTGCTACATTGAGAGATCACTTTCAGTCTCTTTCTCTCGTATCCCTAGAGTTTAAAGATAATAGCAGGAAGCTCTATTGTTGACACTTGTTTTTAGTACAGTTAGTTGCAGCACCTTTACATTTTAGTTCTAATAATCATGAGAACCTCTGCATACACTATTCCCATTAAAGGCATGTTTCCTCTTTACCTTAGAAGTGTTTTAAATACTGAAATGAAAAACACTGGCCTGGAAAGAGGAGTTTTATTATATTGTCAGTAGGTGACTCACTGACTCACAGTGGCAGTCTTGTTGAGATCACACAAACAAATGAATGATTTCAAGTTTAAGTTACTAACCTTTGTTTATATAGTGTTTTTAATACTCATGCTGCTTTTCAAATCATGAACATCTAAACAAATATTTACATTTATTTGAGCAAGTTTCTGTTTTGTGTAAGTAGGCATACGCAGACTACATGGGATTCATTCTGACCTTGAATGAGGGTGTGAAGGGAAAGAAATTCACATGTGAATACCAAGTGTCTGAGGTGGGTCACTATCCTGCTTCTCTCCTGCTGTAACAGATGAAGTCACCTGGCATATATGCTCATAGAAATGTGCTTGCGTACGTTTCTTTGATATTAGACAGTGGAGAAGTTGCTTGCGATGTTGGGAACATTAGATCGCTGGATTGATGAGACGCCACCTGTAGACCAGCCTTCTCGCTTCGGCAATAAAGCTTACCGCTCATGGTATGCCAAACTGGAGCAGGTAAGCACTCGAATGAAATCAGGAATGTTTACTTTCAAACTGTTATAACTTAATCATGGTGCCTTTAGAAAGAATGAATGTATCCCCATTTGATTATTTCTGTAAATTCATATCAAACTTTTCAGGGCAGTATTGTATTGGTTAATGGAAAAGCTTTTTCATGGCGTTGTATAATTTGTTCTGTGCTGTTTTGTATGTCAGGGCAGCTGTTTTAAGGTTAAACGATGTAAAAGATTTTTGTGTGTGCAGGACGCAGAGACACTGGTCATGGCAATTCTGCCGTCAGACCGTCATGATGCCGCTCCAGAGATAGCCGTCTACCTAAAGGAGTCTGTAGGCAACTCCACCAGGATTGACTATGGCACAGGTTAGTTGTCTTTGAAGAGAAATGATGTCTGAGCTTTTCTCACTTTAATGTATTAGTCCAGTAAATTCAACTGTCACAGAGAGAATGATACCAAAGCGTGAATTATACTTATTTTTAGCTGAGAAAAGTCTCTGGATAAATGGACATTTTCTATTGACTCTATTGGCGTGTTTACACAGTTATTAACATCATAAATATTTGGTGCTTTTTAATTGGTAATTATAAAATAATCTTTATATTAACTGGCTTTCTATTAATACAATACAGTGATTGACAACCGTCTGTGGACTCCCAGTGGTTTGCATTGTTGTCAGTTTAATGTTAAGTGATTAATTTACACCAAAACAAAAGATAACTTGAATGCCTTCGTCACCAAAAACAATATTTGCCTTAAATTTCATATTGAACTCAGACAGGCTCATTTTCTGTCAGTTCTTTTTCTTGAAGTGGAATGTTTGGAAACAAAAGATTGTGGGTGATTGAAGGACACAAAGAAAACACTTGACGCATCCGTCACAATTAGCTTATTTCCAAGGATCCTTCAAATATGGCCTTCATCGGCTACCGAGAAATGCACCCATGTATACGTTTTTTTATTTTCATTTTTTTTTTAAATGTAATGTACATTTATACTATTGCTTGGTTTCACAAAAGAAGCTTAGGTCATTCACAGACTACAATGCATGTTTGAGCACTGACATATCTTAAAATATGTCAGTGCAATTGTTTTGTCTCAAGATTCACAACAGTAGTGTTCTTTTCGTTTATAAACGAAGGCCTAATCTAAGCCACGTCTGTGAAACCAGGCCTATACTTAGTTAACCTAAAAAAGTTAATACTACTGTCTTGAGTGCTTCTAATAAAATGGTTGATGAAGTATATATATTTTAGAGTTGAAACTATGGGTTTTGCTATTGGAGCCAAAGGGAATGCAAAAAAGTATTTTTGTTATAGTTACCTCAGAAATGTAAAAAAGTGTCCTGTATCCATGAAAGTCTCAAATTACCGATTTGAATATAGTTTTTCCCAATCCCCACTAGAGGGTGCTGTTGAAACACAGAACAGTTGATTTAAATGATTACAAAGTTCTTGTTTCGTGAAAGTCTGGCATGAGTCTATTTGTGAGAATAATTAAAAGATCCCCATCATAAGATTCATTCATTTGTTAATTTAATTGTAGCCGGCAATATAAATAGAATTGTCTTGCCATTATTTTGTGCTACAATACAATTTTATCACATTCAATTCAGACTGTAAGCTCACAAATTAGGCAAAAAAAAAAACATTGTCTTTTGCTATGGCGCTGTAAAATGAGCAGTTGGAAATGCTGTTTGCATTATTTCGCATAAGTCATGACATGTTTCTGTGTGCAGGTCATGAGGCTGCATTTGCTGCGTTCCTCTGCTGTCTTTGCAAGGTGGGAGCTCTGCGCATGGAGGACCAGCTGGCCATCGTATTTAAAGTTTTTGACAAGTTAGTGGCTCTTTTCGCTTCACTTCTGATTTTGAATATAACCTTTCATTGTTCTCAGGTTAGATCTGCAACCACCAGCAACTTCACTAAACAAGTTTGCACTTTACTGCGCACTAAATACCAACCAAATAATTTTGTCAGTGTATTTTACTGTTGTGTTTTGTGGTTGATGGTGTGAAGAACTCATTTGCATCAAGCATTTTAATCTTATTGGTGAAGGTATCTGCTAGTGATGCGCAAACTGCAGAAGACGTATAGGATGGAGCCGGCTGGGAGTCAGGGTGTGTGGGGCCTTGACGACTTTCAGTTTCTCCCCTTCATATGGGGGAGCGCACAGCTCATAGGTAATGGCTCCGTCTTCCTTGCCGGGTTTGGCTCTTATTCTGTAATGTTTAGCATTAATTGTTTCCTGGTGGGAGATTTAGTCTTTAACAAGACCAAGCTCAGCTTTTTACAGTTATATTTTTGAATTGGTTAAATCCTAAATGATTGTTGCATGCAATGACAACAATGGAGACACCTAGTGGTCACACTAAGTTACTGTTCGCTGTGTCTGTTCATCTATTGTGTGCAGACCACCCAACCCTGGAGCCCCGACACTTTTTGGAGGAGAAGGCCGTAAACGAGTACCACCATGACTACATGTTTTTGGAGTGCATTAAATTCATCAATGAGGTGTGTGTCATCTATCATCTGGTCATGTTTCGAGCGTGAGATGGTCATTTTTCAATTCATTTTCATTTTGTTGGGAGGATGAAATTTTGTTCACACACAAACAGAAACTCATGTGTTCCATTCATGTACATACATACAATATATAGCTTAACTTTCTCTCTCTCTCTCTCTCTCTCTCTCTCTCTCTCTCTCTCTCTCTCACTCAGGGAGGTTGTATTTGGACTCCACTCACATGAGTCATTTCCTTCCTTCCCTGCACGTTGTTGTGAATCACTCCTAAGGCCCCTAGGGCCCACCCCCTCCTTTCTCTTTCTTTTCCTCTCCCTCTCTCCTTCCTTCTCTCTATTCCTCTGTTAGGGGCTAGTAGGTCTCTGGAAAGTCCGGCTTGACGAGAGCAGTGTGTGTGTGGACTAAAGCCACACAGCACTGCCATTCATAAAGTGCTCTTTCCCGAGGGCAGCACACCAGCCCCTCTCTCTCATAAACTCTCATGAAAAGGCCTCATAGTACAGTGACTTGATGATGATATGTTAATTACCACCAGTACGGAATACTTCATTATCTTTTGAAGATATTGTCATAATTCTATTATTATTTTGCTTAATTTACACACATAAACCATGGTTCAAAAGTTTTGGGTCAGTAAGATTTTTCTAAATAAATAAATACTTTTATTTGGCAAGGATGCATTAAATTGATCAAAAGTGACAGTAAAGACATTTATAATGTTACAAAAGATTTCAAATAAATGCTGTCCTTTTGAAATCATCAGACAACTAATCATGTGACCAACTTTGCAATCACTGAAATAAATTACATTTGAATATATTGAAGTAGAAAACAATTATTTACAAGTGGAATAATATTTCACAATATAACCGGTTTACCATAACCATTTTATTAAATGCAGCCTTGGTAAGAATAAACTTTCCAAAACATTTAAAAAAAAATCTTGCTGACCCCAAACATTTAAACAGTAGTGTATGCTTTTTTTTTATTACATTTTTTTTGAAACATTAATATATGTTTCAAACTTTTCAGTGTTCCTTTTTTTTTGGTTAAGTAGTGTTTTTGCTAATATTAGCTTAAATTTATTTTTACTGTCATTATATATTTTTGCCCCTTTTTTCTGGTCTGTGATCAACAGACACAAGTACACTTAATATAGTTAAAAGTGACATTCAAGTATCTTATTCTAAGCACTCTTTTTAAGTTTCCATACACCTCAAATTAATCACATTTAAAAAAAACTCTCTGAGATGTTTGTGCATTTCAAAGTGCTCCATTAAATCGAGCTTTAATGTTGCTGATTGTACATTATAGGTCTCCTTAATCACTGTGTATATTTTCTTTCTTTAGATGAAAACAGGCCCATTTGCCGAGCACTCAAATCAGCTTTGGAACATCAGCGCTGTTCCTTCTTGGTCCAAAGTCAATCAAGGTCTTATACGAATGTATAAAGCAGAAGTAAGTAGCATGTGGTTGTAAACACTAATACATGTCAGGAGCTTTTGATGTTGTAATATATTTAACTTGGTGGGATACTGATTCTTATCTAGAGTATGTAAATGGTACATTTGGCAGTTAGAGAACTAAATCCTTTTTTATCATAACAGAAAAAATATGAAAAACAACAAAAAAAGTCTAACAGTCTATTTAGAAAGGAAAATTGCAAGATACCCACTTATACAACCTGCATGGGACATTTATAAATGCCAAGCCAGAGATTTTCGGTTGTTCTGTGAAGTTTTGAGACCGGAGCTGAAAGAGTTAATAGGGCAAGCATTTGTGTTCGAGGGGAAGAACCGCGTGCCCCACCCCCTCCTCCAAAGCCCACATCCTGTGTTGTTGAGAAGACTCCGGTGCTCCCTCCTCCTCCTCTCCTCTCAGCACAGAGCGAAGCTGAGGGGCCAGTCTGTCTGCAAATTCCCCTCCTCCTTCCCTCTCTCTCTCTCTCTCTCTCTCTGTCTTCCCCACCCCCGTATATATCACACTCTCGTTCTCTCTTTGACTCCGTCTGCCAGGGACTCATGACTATTACTGATGTCTTTCAAGTTAAATGCTAAGAGAGTATGAAAGCTATGTGGAAGTTTTATGTATGAAAGGTTTTAATTCTGTATCTGAGCGACATTTCAATGTGCTTTTGTCTAAATTTCACTTTTTTCTACATTGAAATAAATGAGAGGCTTTTCCTTCTCGTCTCCTTTGGCCTTACATGTAGTTTATAGATATACTTTATAGTCAATCCTAGACTTTTATTCAGTAAGCGTGCATTAAACTGATTAAAAGTGACTGTAAAGACTTGTAGGGCTGCCCCCAACTAAAGATTTTTCTAGTTGACTGTTAGGGTATGTTTACACGGAAAGGATTCTGAAGAGAAAACACAAAAGTGGTGTTGCGTCATCTTTTTTTTTATTCTGTGTTTAGACGAGCGTTTTGTGTGGGAAATCCGCGTGCAAATGGAGATGCAAAAGTGTGTGAAATTCAATGTAGTATGCACTTCAGGGGGTTAGGAGTGCATACTACAACAACACCAAGTCCACGCGCCTGCGTACAACTTTCACCGTCAAGCAGACTTTTGCGTTTTTACCGTTTACACGGGAACGCGGCGGCGGAGCTTTTTTAAGATTTTCACTCTGGAGGGTGGTTTCACTTTTTTGCGTTTTTGAGCCTCAAAAACGCCATCGCCGTGTAAACGAAAGGCACATCCGATAAAATATTTTTACGTTTTCACCCGCGAGCGTTCTCGTGTAAACAGGGCCTTAAGTCGTACATTTAAGCCATCAGTCGATTAGTCAGGGGAGAAATACTAAACCTGGGGGACCATGAGTATTTAAAATATAAATTAAGTACTCACGTGTACGCATGCACGTTGCCACTGTGACAAAAATCGCATGAACTTTTCTGAGATCAAACAAAATAAATACCCTAAAATATAAATAAAAGCCTTATATTTAAAAAAAGACATTTAACGAAAATGTAGGATATAAATTATTAACAAGCAAATAAACACTTAATAGAGAAATATCAGTGTGTGATCATAATCAGACAGACAAGTAGCCTTAACATTGAATGAAAAATCAGTTTTTCAGAGGTCAGAATAAAAAATAAAAAAATACATTAAGCCTATATAAAAACAAATAAATAAATAGCAGCAAACTGACTGTTACTCCAATCTCAGTCTTCTCATATTATGAAAAAGGGACACAAGTTTGTCCATGTTGTGTGTAAAGCTCAACATTTAGGTTCCACACTCCACACAAACACTTGGATATTTGCCTAGGTTAACGATAGAGCGAGCAGCCATGTGAAGTGCTATAAGCTACTACTTGCATGTTTTATATGATAAGTGATGTTTGGGGTCGCACGTCATCTTTTTTTTTGGTCATTCTTTACCTTCTCATAATGTTCCCACAGTGTTTTGGATTTTCTGCCTGAAATATTATCTCATGGACCAGCCGTTAACTCTCTGTCACTGCGTGACTTTGCCAATAGGTGGTTTGCAGTCACGTGATTGTATTGACGCGCGGAACACAGATGGAGGGCAAGGAGTGAAGAGCGCAATGGACGAGATGGAGGAAAATCTGTACTGTACTACTTTAGACGCTATTACAAGAGAAATGTATAAACAGAAAATCGAAATGTTACGTTATGATGAGGACCGATTTTCAACTGAATTGAGAGATTTGCCTGCCATCGAGGCTGTAAATATCAGCAACTAACTCGTCTTACAGACATACTTTGACTTTACAAAGTTCGGAAACTGCTACGTTACACAAACAGCCACATAAGTGTATTTAAACACCTGAATAATGTAATTATAAGCCACATAAATATTAACTCACAGTTGACGAAGTGATCACTGCGCACACACACACAGGCATTTTCCCATTCGGCTCCTCCCGACCGCAGACGTAGGTTTATAAGGCATTTTCCCGGTGTTTTTCTGTCAATTTCTTGTACTTTCCTCCCTTATGAACAACAACTTTTGTCACACGATAAAAACTCCTCGTGGTTTGATCGATTTGAGCAACCATAAACGACGCAAAACATAGGCATTTTGAGTGTGTTAAAGTGCTTCCTAAATATAGAAATCACTTCCTGCCCTCCATTTGCGCTTCGCGCCATGGCAACGCAGTTGCGTGACGTCACGTGAAAACAAGCTATTCCTGTGGAGTTTTTTTTTTTTGTGACTAACCGACTGATTCAGATTTAGACGACCAAGCCTCTTGTCAACTAACCTTTAGTTGACTATTAAAACCCTAAAGACTTGTGATGTTGAAAAAGATTTCTATCCAAATCAAAATAATAGAATTATTATTTTACAGTATTACTGTTAATTCTGTATTTTTGATTAAATAAATGCAGCCTTGGTGAGCGTAAAGGACTTCTTTCAAAAGCATAAAACAAATCTTACTGACCACAAGTCTTTGAACAATTGGGTTTTTTGGAAATGTACATTTTGTATATTTATAGTTTCATTCATTTTGGACGCCATGGCATTAGACATTTTGAAAGCTTGTAAATCTGTTCTCTTGCTTGTAGAGTTGATTGATTAGTTAACTCTTTGTCTGTCGCCCTCTCACAGTGTCTAGAAAAGTTCCCTGTCATCCAGCATTTCAAGTTTGGCAGCCTGCTCTCCATCCAGCCAGTTAAACCATGAGAGACAACAGAAAGAATCCGCACCTTGTCAGAGAGGACAACCAAAACTCTGCCTATGGACGAACGCACTTCACTTCCAGTAGTATGCATTCTCTTCAGCAGAGGTCTTAATCTTGCAGATCTACTTTTCCTGGAGAGTTCAGTCCCAACCCTGCTCTTATACATCCTATCCTCAAATTTGTGTGTGAACCTGAAGACCTTGATCATCTAGTTTAGGAGTAGATGAGTTGAGTTGAACTAAACTCTGCAGGACAGTAGATCTGAACAGCCCTGCTCTTCACAGTCTACTAGTTGTGCGTATGAAATCCCACTTCTGATATTCCTCCTAATGATGCAATTTGTCTTTACGGTTTTATTTATCTATTTCCTGCAAGCAGGAAGTTGAACTGCTTCTAAGACACCTGCGGTTATACATTTTCATCTGGATTGGCATTTATATTTATTTATGTGTATATAAAGAACAGAGCTTGTCACAATGAATGGTTGAAGGCTTGGTTTTGGTTTAATGGATTCCATTTCCTGTGTGGAAAAATCTGAAGAATAACGTGTGTTTGTGTGTGTGTGTGTGTGCGCGGGTGTTTGTGAGTTTGTGGAGGATCAGTGTCTCAAAAGGCACTTCTTGAGTCACTTGCTGTTCAGTTATGAAAGATCGGCAAGGTATGTGCTTGCTGTGAATGGTTTTGGCAAGTGTGTTTTTTTTTTCCCATGTAAGACATGTATAAGTTGTCGACCTCTTAAGTTTTACATTTTTGGCTTTTGCTTTTTTATTTATTTTTCATTTAACTGAAAATAGGATAAGTAATTGGTGTGTAAAATGTCAGAAAGATCGACTTAACCCATATAGTTACAGCCACATGTAGCTAATACCATAGTCTTCCGTTTGCTAAGGTAAAGCAATGAATGTGGCTCCACCAGTTTGGCATTATGCTTAATCAGTGAAGCATTTTTGATTTCTAAATGTCATTCTGTGTAAATAAATAGTTTCAGTTTGCTTCAGAACCAACAAAGAGAGGGAGTTAAAATGACTGAAATAGTGCAAAGCTTTTTGTAACTCAAATGCAGTAAAAGTTTATGCTGTTAGAACCAGGCGAAACATCTATTGACACTTTTTACATGGGCACAAATATAATTCATCCTTCACAGAGTAAGTTTTCGTTGTTCTGCACAATAGCAGACTTTAGATTGATTAACTGAAATTCATTTGGATTGAGAATAAAATGTTTGAAATGAGAGGCACCTTAAAACAGAGTATTTAGTTCTGGGCAACTTTTCTGTTTATCATGGGTTAACATGGAACTAACAGACCAGGACTTCCTTTCCTAAAAGCTTTGAAGGCCTAAATAGATCATGCAAACCATTGGCATCAATGGTCTCAAGATCTATTTAGGATTACGGGCTGTATTTCAGACTGTTAAATGTTACAAAATCATCCCTTTAGCTTGGATGCAACAAACCCTTTAAATCAAGAAACTTTGTGACAATTTATAATAATAACTAAGGGTCTGCTTAGTTTATGTGGTTTGTTGCAATCGGTATCAAATTGTTCTAAATCTGCTATTGTCTGCTAATTGGCTTTTTGAGTTACTTTTATTTAATAAAAAATGTGTTCTGATTTTTGAGATGCAATGGAACTACTGGGTTAATAATAGGACATAACTCTCAATGTTTATTTGCTTCCTAACCACCACAATTAAGTTGTAATTGAATTACTAACATACGTCACAATGTTAGTAATTTACTTACAACTTAATTTTGGTGGTTAGGAAGCTAGTAGAGGGTTAAAAATTTGTGAATTCAGTTTCTTTTGACTGAAATTCTAAGTAGTTTCAGCAGTGTCCTGTTATATGAAATGCTACAATTCATTTAAAACTGATATATAATTCAAATAAAAGGTTTCATTACCTTGTGTATAAAGAAAAATATATGTATCGTTTATGATTTTGGGGTAAATGGATATATATATATATATATGAAGAGTTCAGATGCAAAAGCCTCTAAATGCCATTTGAAAATTTCTTCTTTAATGATGATTTTTATCAAACTTGTATATTTAAGTTCAGTAATTTCACTTAAATAACAATTAATAGGTAATTATCATTGCCATTTAAGTGAAATTACTGAACTTAAATATACAAGTTTGATGAAAAATGATCATTTTAGAAGAAAATTTCAAATGGCATTTAGAGGCTTTTGCATCTGAACTCTTCATATATATATTAACAAATCTTGATGTTGAAATTAAAAAAAATAACCGGTGTATTTATGTAATTTTGTTATATAAAATAAGGTGTTTTCTGAAGCAAATTAGATTCTTTGGGGTTTACAGAGCTCCACAGTATTTTTTTAGTTGAGTCATTTTCAGTGGTTGGCAAATTCAGCATCTGTCCAGTCACTATCGCCCAGTCTCCCCACTGGGAAGCCCCGCACAGCTTGCTGAGTTATTGACATGAACTCATGTCGAATTTACCCCCATCATCACCCATCCGCCCCGCCTCCGCCCCCCTTTTCTATCCAGGTGTATTTACGCAGGCTTCACTGCTGAGTTCAACAGGCGCAGCTGAGATAAGATAAAGATTAAACTAAAGTCGTGCCTTTTGTCTTCATTAACATTTGATGTTACCACTGAGCCCGTTTTACAAGGCTGCTTATTTAGGAGAGTGTAAATACAGGCGCATTTAGTATATATCACGTCCGCCGGCTAATGAAACACGTGCTATCTATGTGCAAGATTCTGTGTGCGTGTGTGTGTAATTGACAGCGCATGGATCCTTCCATCACGTAAAGTGAGAAAATCTGCATTCGTTTCGTGCGCGCGCTCTCCATGGTAGCGTTTCCCGCGTCTGCCGCGCGGAGGAGCTCGCCACACACCACAGACTAGAGTACAGCGGCTGACAAAAAATAAACGAATATACAAACGGTCTTTTTTTTATAAAAATAGATTTGGTAACGTTAGCACGGACACATTTCCTCTAAAATGAGCGTATTCAGAACAAAACCATCAAACGGGTTCAAATATAACTTTCACACTCATTAAGCCGACATCTATTTAACCTTGTACAATCATTCAGTTATTTCTAAGACTTGTTCGTCGCATTACAAACCAAACTAGAACGTATTTGAACGGTTTTAAACGCCTCGTCGTAATGTAGTAAACATAAACTACCGAGCGACCAAATTACCTGCGTTTTAGCGACATTTAAGCATGCGCGAAACAGCTATATTCGTCGAAAATGGCTAAGACAACGACCTGACAATAGCCTATGTGTGTTGGACGTTGATGTGTCGGGCGTACTGCGGTGCGGTATCTCAGATTGAGAGGAGTCGAGAGGTTTCGGCTAGAGATGAGAGAGGGAGAGAGAGAGAGACCGGGGAGAGGACAGGGAGGGGAGGGGTGGAGGGGGTTGCAGGGAGCAGCGGATTCGAGGTCAGCCCGAGGTGCCGCTACATAGGCGCTCTAATACCTTCATTCATTGATTTTGAAGAACACCACCATGTGGCATACAGCAGAGATAACACAGTCTGCAAGTTTAGTGAGAGTTTCTGGCTAAACAGTGCGCGCGCCTTGAACACAGTGCCCGCCAATAAGACGTGACGCGTGTGTCAGGCAAAAGTTTGCTTTCATGGTCTTAGCATGCGAAACAATCATTTTAAACGTAGGCTTTACAATTTTGCGTGCTTTGTTTTATTCTATCAATGGTGCGTTGGCTATACCTATTACTTCCCTTCTCATTGATTGTTTTATTCTTGGCCTACAGGCGACAGTTCAATATCTCACTAATGGCAAATGAAATAGGCTATCTAAAATTTTAATTTCAGGTGATATAAAACAGGTAAACAATGCTGAAAATATTTATTTAGTATCTAAAGTCATATGCACAGTTGTTGTCAGTTTGGAGAGTGAAATAGCCTATTTTTTTGAGTTTGGCCTTGATTAGAAATCAAACTAACCTTAGTGAAGTAGCCTATAGAACAATTGGCAAATGTATAGGCTAATGAATATGACCTCAATTGATACGGTACATGAGATTTATTTCAGATTTCTGTATTGCTTTGAGTCAAGCTCATTGTCACCAGATGAGGCCTAAATGTTATAGCTTAAATTGACACTCTTGGTTTATCACAAGACACAAAAAGAGGCAATGCAAAGTAAGTTTCATTTTTTATTAAGGTTATAAATTTTAAACAAATACTTTCTAAAACAGTTTTACCCGGTGATATACAATTTAATATGCACAAAAATACAAGAATACCAACAAAATATGGAGAATACGTCTGAAAACGTCTTTAATTCAGTACACATAGTGCTTATATAATGTGAGGACGTATGGCTAATTTATGAGATTGCCTTTTTAGAACAAAAGGTCTAAGTTTGTAGAAAATAAAATCAAACCCACAAAACCAAGCAAATGCTGGCATTATGAATTACTTGTGAAGGCTTTAACTTTTTCTGAGAGTAAGGGGGCAGAAAATGGCTAATGCTGGAGACTTGGTTAGTCAACAAAAATACCTGGCTGGCAGATTAAATCACGGCGTGCATTATGGGAGTTGTAGTGTTAATTAATGGCCCCAACTTTCAGTGTTGTTGAGGTGACTGGCATAGGCGAACTACAAACACACACAGAGGAACTGGAGCTGTAGGTCAGTCAGTGCAGTCAACAAAACGCACCAGTCCTCGCCACTTTCACCAGCAAAATTCATAATACAGAAAACAACAAACTCAGACAGGGAGGGGGTTCATATATTGCACCTTCATTAGCCTACTTGATTGCCCTGTATGATATTACAGAATGTAGTCTGTTGAAGCCAGTCCTCTTCCTGTAGCTCTACGTTAACAACAACACGAGCTCAGATATATAGTCTTGTAGTAGTAGCCTGTTCTACTGGTATAGTCGTTAAAATGCTAGAAAATATGACACGACTGCATAAAGTGTTTTGAGTGAGAAATAAGCGTGCAGTGGGTAGGCTTCTCCGTTTGCAGCCTGTTATTCCCAACATTACATGACTGTAATGTTATTTTACAATACATCTTTGTGAAAGTTCCTGGGAAGGGGAGAGAAAAGAGAAACAATCCACGAGCAACACATTCAGAGACTTTCCATGTTTGTGGCCATAGCTAGCAGTCTGCGTTGGGTTTAAGGCAACGAAATTCAACTTCGTATTAAAACGTTTGCTGTAATATCGACATTTGTTTTAAAGGACAGGACATCACAAGTGGTAGGCTACAACCACTGTCCGCCACCCCCACTGAAACGAAACTAAAACAAAGCAAATAAAAAAACGCTTAAATAACTTTGCTGTAAAAATAAAAGTCGATTTGTCTTAGACTCTGTACAATTTCATAAAGTATCTGTATTCGCATTAACCACAGAGTCAAAAGGCTACAATAGCTCTCGTCCAAGCCCCTAAACTCGCCAGGGCTTGTTTGCTACAGAACTGTCCGTTTAAGGCTTGCTCCAAGTCCGCTTGTCTGCTCACCAGTCCCGTAAACCCCGAGCCGAAGATCGAGATGAGGTTGGAAATGTTCGACGTGTCCAAATGCTCCGTGCACACGTATGAAGAGTCCTCGAATTTCGCTCTTTTGCACGGGGTAAAATCCGGCACCTCCTCGATCTCGGACACGTAGTAACCAAAGTCAAGCTTGCGTTTCTTGGCTGGGCTCTGTGCGCCCTGGCAGCACTGTTGGAGCGAAGCGCAGCAGTCCTGATGCAAATACCCGTTCTCTACTGTGGTAACGACATGCGTGTCCAAATCGAGCACTGTAGTTTTGTTGCAGTGCATGTTGCTTACCGGCGAAAAGTCACAGTTGGAAACGGGGTAGGCTTCCGCGCAGCAGCTGCGGTAGAACGAGGGATCCGGAGCTTTGCAGACCTCTTCGCTTTGGAGAGCCATGGGCACCGAGCAGGCGCTGCTGGGCTGGATGTGCTGCACCGGAGGAACCTGGTGGCTGACGGGCAAGAGCGCGCCGCAGAGGCTCGCTGACTCGCTCGCGCTGCCGCAGCAGTCCCCCGTCTGCTCCTCGCAGTCCTCCATCAAATCGAGCGGGTTCAGCTCCTGGATCTCGTTGCAGACGGTCATCACCTCCTCGTACTGCTGCATCCTGTAGATCTCGGCGTACTTCTCGTTCATGTAGACTTGCCTGGCGTTCCTCAGTACATAGGAAACCAGCAGGTTCTTGTGCAGCTTGATTCCTCCTCTCTGCGTACGGGAGTTGTGGATTTTTCGTAATGATATCGAAATTAGACTTTGTGCATCCACTGCACACTCCATGGTGTTGATCATGGTCGGGGTCGTGATGTTTTCCGACCGCTCTGACGAAAGTAACTAACTTTCTTTTAGTCAGAATCGCGATATTTCGTTCGGGGACGAAGGCTTAAGTCAGCTCTGTGGAGAAACATTGAACGTGGTCGTTTCTGCCTCAACGTGTGAGCGAAGGCAATCATTAGCCTGCGCTTGCTGCCATAGTATATATATGGCGAAGAACTTTACGCCCACTTTCCCCTCGGCCAATCAGGGCCTGAGAATATCGTTGAGTGACAAGCAAATTCCACCCAGAGGTTTTGATCTCATCCAATCATAGAGAGGCGGTTCTTCTGTGCTATTCAAATTCCA